TGATCAATAGTTCTCCAGGCCTTTAGAAGCCAGTGTGCAAAGAGAAAGCATTTCTTTGGAAATTTTTAGCTCCGGGCAGATTAATGCGCTTTTCTTTTTCTTTTTCTTTTTTTTGTTATTAGCATTGAGCTCTAACCTATGAGGCATTCAAACAGGAAAACTGAAAAAGATCATGATGCCAGAGAACATTTTTTCATTGACAAATTGATTCCTGAAAAGCTGTCAGTTGAAAACTTTTATATCTCAGCATTTTCAACGTGGGTTTTAACAGTGCTCTTTTCAAAAATTGAGGAAACTGAAGAAGTGGGAGTCAAAAGAAGAAGTGGCTGTGCTAAAAAAAAAACTATCTAAGAAGATGGGCAGCATCTGAAACCGATGTCCTCGTGAAAGGAAAAAATCAAGCTGATGCAAGACTTGAGACACGCATCTGGACTTTGGCTGGTCCACCTACTCTTGGCCCGAGCCTCGTCCGAAATGCTCCGCGTGGAAGGGTGGAGGTCAAGAAGCTATTGGAAGGATGGGGAAAGGGGGGAAGTCTGAGCTGTGCCAAATGACACACAAAGTGGACTGAAAATCAGTGGCAACAGGTCTGATGGAGGGATGAATCAGTTTAGGATCATCTGAGCGAAAATTTAATAAAAGGGAAAAAACATCCAGACTTGGGACGAGCTTTCAGAACTATCCCTGGAGACTACTTCAACTTAAAAAAGCTGTTTCGGAGCATAAAGGGGCTCAGACCATGTATAATCTCACTTCCCAGCTTGTTAAAACTATACAGACTCTAATTTGCTTCATAAAGTGAATTTCCCGACATGCTTGGACATGTTTTGCTAAATCGATGCACCTACTTCCCTTTTTCCGGGCAGTACATAAATAAACGAGGGGTGGCTCAGGGCTCGTGTACAGCGCTGTAGATCTCTTCTCTAGGCCGCAAATGCTTTGTTCTAGTGGTCTGCTTCTCATCAGGATGTCCCAAAATCTGAGGCAAAGCGCTTTTTTTAAGGCGACATCAGGATAGCTTCTGTTTTCTATCTGTCACTCATGTAAATACTGGAGCAAATGGCTGGAGGCTCGCCCTAATTGAAATTCTAACGACCAGGCCAACCAATGGCCAACTGCAGAAGATACATTTTTTTCCCCCTCCATAAAATTTTCTAGGCTTTACTGAACTCTGTCTTGCTGATGCTTGCTAATTGGGTTCACATTTTCATTAGTTTCGGGCGAAAAAAAAGGCAACAATGAGCCGGTTCAATTAATAAACCAAATGAGCGTGTTAAATTAGATTAGATGAAGCTGCCCCACATCCAGCTGTTGTCTTTTTGTTTTTTTTACAGACTGACAAAGTGACGGGGAGTTAAAGCATCTGCGCGGACGGAGGCGAAGCGGGACGGACAGCTCCATATGCGCCCCGTCAGCCCGGGGCCGCACATTGGTCCGACTGTCTTTTGCTGCCACGCTCGTTTGGCCTCAGCAGCCGTCATGTCTTGTGCTAAAGGTCTCTCGTCGCTACGAGGCTCCTCGGCGCTATCTGCGAGCTACAGACGGAGAAAAAAAAAAGGACTGATTAAACACGCCTTCATTAAAGCGATTACGTGCACGAGGCAGTTTAATTTCCCACGGGCGGGCCACTAACGACGAAAAAGAGGAGGAAAAGAGGGCCGGCGGAGCATGCAGGGGGCTCGGTTCAGCGGGGAGGCGAAGCAATGGTGGTTTGTTAGCGTTCATTTAAAGACCCAGTCCTCCAGGACGGAGAGAGTCCTTTTGACTTAATAAGCCGTGGTTGTGTGAAATGGTGCGCGGCGCTCCTCGGGGGGACAGCCATCTTTTTTATTTTTTGCCCTGACGAGCGGCACTACCTGACTCACCACACCCACAGGCCGCTTCCAGGTCACCAAGCTTCCAGAGAGGAAGACCTTGCCGAAGACACAGGAACGGCGTTACTTCTGGTTCATTTGACGCAGTCGGCAAGTGTTTCGCCGTTACCACGAAGCCCAAATGAACATCAGAGTCTCGAAGGCATTCTTTGGTTTTGTCCTTTTCTGACAAGTTTTGTTTTGATGGCCGAGGAACATAGCTGTCCCCCTTTTAATTCTGAATCTAATCTAATGTCACGTTAACTCATACTAACTTCCAAAAATCTCTACATGAGTTTTGCAGTTCACTTCCAACTGTGATCAAACCTTCTCTGTGGTCTGCTTCTGGCTACTTAAGAGTGGAGTGTGAGATACATTTGATTATCTAGTAAAAAATAAAAACAAGCCTTTATAGACTTTCCTATAAATGATCCACACACACCACACAAACGAATTTAATGATTCCCTTCTATGTGCTGCCTCACAGCTCAGCTACCCTCCATCCCTCCTCCGGGGTCAGCCAGTAGCCATCATGTCCAGTGACAAACGTGAGGAAAAGGCCTTTCTAGGCCGTACCCACACGCCCCCTCCGCTGCTTTCAAGCTTTTCCGTTTCTGCTGCAGCTTCTGTTCCTCGTCGCCTTATCTGTCGACGTGAATCACCCGCCGCTTCAAAGAAAGTGGCAGAAGCGCTGGTATCAGGTGCGCGCGCCGTGCTTCTCTGAATTTAGCTGAACACAGTCGCGCACGTGTTAGCAGGAAACCGTTTAAAAGCCTCAGTTCCAATTAAGGCTCCCAAGCAAGCCGGTGTGTGTGTGTATATCAAACCGCAGAGAGTTTTTCTGTTCCCGACCTCAGAATATTCACAACTGCACCGTCAGACCAGCAAGTGTTAACCAAAGATCGAAAAAACATCTCATAACTTCACACAGAATCGACTCCTGTGACCTTTGAGAAGTGGATGAGGTCACTTTGAAACTGGAACTGACCACCGACTGATACTTCAACCCGTTTCCCTGAAACTGCCACTGTTTTTTTCTTCTTCTTCTTTTTTTCCCTCCCCCCCCTACCTGATGTTTGTGCTCACGGCATTTACACCGGACCGGCCCACCAGACCACAGTTTCACAGGGAGGTTTTTGGTTTAAACTGACCACTGTGAGACCGTTTGAACTCCCACGGTCAGAGGAGGGATGCAGAGACTGATGGTGCATCAGATATTCTAAAAGGAAAAAAGCTAAAAGCTTATAATGAACAGCTAATTTCATCCGATTTTGTTTTTTTCGCTGCATGACAGTGTCAAATAAACGCACAACACTGTACAACACAACCCAGTGATAGACTTTGTGACAGATGCTCTGATGACCATATACTGATGTCATCAGGATTGTCTCACCATTGCTGTAACACCCAACTTATTTGGAGAAAAAGACCGATTCTACTGTGGGCTGTGTCGTGAGAATTGTGGGATCCAGCTTTTCAGGTGTTTCATCAACACAAATGTGAGTAAAAGTCATAATATCCCAGCTTCTGCTGTTTTGACTTTCACCTCTCTTCTTTTTTCTTTTAGGCCTGACTCATGTGAGTTCCCAGAGTTTCTACGAATACACACAGAGAAAGAGAGAACCGTTTTTTACATCTCATGCTAGTACAAAATTTCCAGCAAATTCCAAACAACAATCCCAACCACGGTTTTAAAAAATCCACTTATGACCTCATTGCCTTCTGAGTTTCCCTCGCTAGGATTATTTGATTCACATGAAAAGTTTGGATTTCTCCTCCTGCTGTCTCACTGATCTGAAGTCATTCAAATGTGCTTGTTCGGTCTCAGATAACAGAATTGAACTCGGTAAAGTAAAAATGACCACACGCATTTGAAGGGATTATGTCATCGTGAGAAAGAAAATGTGTGAACTCACACATGCAAATGTGGCTGGAGGATTGGTTTGAGCTCGAGAAAGTTACAGATGCGAAATGTGTTTTGGCTGAGCTCCTGTGGGGTGTGATCCGGTGATTCAGAGCTCATTATCAGACAGGTGTTCAGCTTAAGGAGCCACCAGTCACAAATACCTCTTCGCTCTGTCACATGTTGGAGCAGGTTAAGTTGACTATCTTTTCATAAAGCGAACAAAGAAAAAAAAAAAAAAAAAACAGGCGTCTGGTGAAATCTATTTGACTTTGCTGTCTAATTTCCACTCAACCTGTCTTGATTTTTTTGCTCGTTGGCAGGGACAGACTGTTCTGTCTGACATCCAGAGCAGTTTGCCAATCAGCCTTGGGGCTACACGCGACTCCTCAGTCATCACGCCCAGCAGTTGCCCATCCTCTGTGCGCCCGGAGGGCCTCCCACAGCCCTGACGGGAGCTGGAAGAGGGCCAGAATGGGATCGGCTTCCTGCTCGTGTCAGGAACTGGTGCGCCGGGATACCCAAATATGGACCAGGTCGGATGACTCAGCACGAGACTGGTGGGGATTGTTGCTGTAGACGAGAATAAAAAGGGATTGTTTATGTGTTCGGTTGACAATAAAATTGGGTGGAGTATAGCGGCTGTATTATTATCACTTGTATTTTATTTATTTTTTTACTGTTTTTTTTTCTGAGCTGTATGAAACAATACCAGTCTTGTTAAGAGGTCAAACCGTGTGGATTGAACGTTTGTCTACTCCTCTGGGGTTGAGTTTCCTCTATATACGCTGAATGTGCCTCGTCTTGTTTACGGTTCGTGTTCCTGGCAAAAACGTCACGAAATCTGGACACCCGGGGGGCGGAGTCAGATGAGAAAGCAGCCAATCAGAAGGCTCCGTGGGCTCTCCTGTGCTAAAGTATAAAGAGTGCGGAGGCGCCTCGGCGCGCGTCACTAACGAGGAAACTAAAGAGCCAAATACGCTCAAGACGAGTTTCTGCTACTCATGAGTGGAATGAAACATCTGTACTAGTCACTGGACTCCAACCAAAGGTACAAATCGACGACTTGGTAGAGTACAGTTCCGCTATTTTGGAGGTTTTGCTGGTTTTGGTAGCTTTGAGCGTCGGTAGAATAATACGTCGGGACTGAAGACCGTTTTGGACACTGACGCCTCGGTGTCCGTGCACAGCATCCGTGCGGCGCGCGCTCTCTCTTGTAGCTTATTGACTGTCTGATTTGCAATATGTCCACAATAATGGAACAGCCTTTTTATGACGACTCGTTTCTCTCTGCTTATGGCCATCCAGGCGCGGCGCTGCCCGACTACAAGCTGCAGCTAAAGCAGAACATGAACTTGAACTTCTCCGAGTCCTATCGGAGCGCGAACTTCAAGCCCCAGCACCTGCGCGCGGCGGAGAGCGAGTTCTATCCGGCGGCGGACGCGGGCTCCCTAAAGCTCGCCTCCCCGGAGCTGGAGCGGCTGATCATCCAGAACAGCAACGGCATCATCACGACGACCCCGACCCCGCCGCAGTACCTCTACAACCGCGGGATCACGGACGAGGCGGAAGGGTTCGCCGAGGGTTTTGTCAAAGCGCTGGACGATCTCCACAAAATGAACCAGATGGCTCCCCCGAACGTGTCCATCGGGACGGGCGGGGTGGGGGTCGGGGTCGGGTGCCCGGCTCCCACCTCCGTGTTCGGGCCGTCCATGCAGCCGGAGCAGCTGGAGTACACCACCCTGCAGGGCGCCTGCGCGGCCAACCCGGGCCTGAGCAGCTCCGCGGCCAGCTACCCGTCCACCACCATCAGCTACCTGCCCCACCACCAGTACCACCAGCACCCGCAGGCCGTGGCGCACGGCTCGCACCACTTCCAGCACGCGCTGGCCGGCGCCGGCGTCCACGCGCAGCGCTACGGGGGTCTGAAAGAGGAGCCCCAGATCGTCCCCGACATGCAGAGCAGCGACAACAGCTCCCCGCCCATGTCCCCCATCGACATGGAGAACCAGGAGCGGATCAAAGCGGAGCGCAAGCGGCTCCGGAATCGGCTGGCGGCCTCCAAGTGCCGGCGGCGCAAGCTGGAGCGCATCGCGCGTCTGGAGGACAAAGTGAAAGTGCTGAAAACGGACAACGCCGGACTGTCCAGCACGGCCTCTCTACTGCGGGAGCAGGTGGCCCAGCTCAAACAAAAAGTCATGACGCACGTGAGCAGTGGATGCCAGCTCATGCTGACGCCCAAAGTCAAGTCTTACTGAGGCGAACGCGCACTTTTCTTTTCTTTTTTTTTACAAACACTGGACAAGAACTACACTGAAAAAAACAACAACGACACACACAAAGACACACACACGCAACAGTGTGAGAACTGAATCGTGGAGGTTTCTTTGCCCGCACACAGGAACCGCACAAGACTAAAACACTTCGGGCATTTTGGAACGCGTTTTTCAAAGTGTCGTCCTGGCTTTGCCTGTTTACATTTCTATTGCAATTTGTGATGATTTTAATGTAAGTTATTTGTGTTGATCAGGGTAAACCTGTTTTCCTCCCCCCTTTCTTACGTGTACAGTGTACATATATTTAAGTAAATTAAACTTATGGAATCGAGAAACGTGGTGTTTTCTGATCCTAGCTCATGAAAAAATGTGTTGTCACTCGCTCTGTGGTTCTCGTAAACACGACCACACTGTTGTTTCTGAACATTTAGGTTGACAGCAGAAGTTGCCAGACGCCGACAAAAACGTCCCAGCGTAGGAATTTTCCCTACTGACCTACGTGCGTGCGCGCGTCCGCCCATAAATGGCAAAACGCTGCCGGCAAGCGTCATATCGCCACAAGGTTTTCCGGGAACTCCCTCCCACGCTGCCAGTCAGAGGAGCTGCGCTCTCCCCTTCACACCACAACCAGAGGCCTCGTCAATGAGCGGTTTATTCTAGTGAAGGGAGTTTCCCCCCCCCGTACCGACAATCTGGTTTCAGTTTCCCAAAACAAGACGTGAGCAGTAGTTTAGGAAAGATGCTCGGTAAGAGGGCGTGCCATCAAAAAAATGTGGTATGGCCTGAGCAGCTTGTTTGAAGTGACTAGAACCGGTCTCAAAACAGGCCAAAACAGCCGGGAGGCTGGATTTATCTTGGAAATGAGTCCATTCATCACATGCGACAACAGGAAAATAAAGCATTGAGGTGGATTTATCCACCGGGTTCAGGTTTATTGGGGGGAAAAGATAAAAATCTGTAAGAAAAATGGCAGTTTCATTCATTTCAAAACACGGAATATAACTGTCTAATACAACTTTAAGTCTGGGAGATTCAAACGGGGTTTTTATAAATCATAAATCCCATCTTTCCCAATGAGCCTCAGAGCCATTTGGCAACAACAGGATGCTGAGTCAGCCACCACAGTGACTCCAATATTAACCAAGACTTGGCAGCCCTGATGCGCTCAGGTCCTCTGCCAGGCCCAGGAGCCGGCAGCTTTGGCTCCATCAGCTCCACAAACGTTTCGTGGAATTCTACCTCCAATTCAAGTAAACTGGAACCCATTCAGTGGAGATCTGGCTCCACCTGGAGGCCAAGGCTGGAACGACTGTCACACGAATGTGAGATCTGACAGAAAACGCGCTTAGCCATAGTTTTCCCAGTTTTAATAAAGATGGTAGCAAATCATTGATGACAGCAAGGAAAAATATCACTTTCTTTGAAAAAACAAAACAAAACTAGACTTTCAGTGCTTGAGACTATGAGGTTGCCCCACCGATTGTAGACGGCACATAAAAAACCGCGACAGGATTTTCTTCCAAACAAGCTGAAGGAATTTGTTCTAACGGATTAGACTGGACGCCATGGGTTACTGCTTTATAGGGACACCTCATCTGAAGGCGAGTGCTGCGGTCAGTACGGGAGCTGGACAGAGGACCTCCGCGTTCACTGCTTGGAGAAGAAGGCTTTGCTCTTCTCGACGTCGGGGACGATGGTGTCACTCCCGGGTTTCCAGCCAGCAGGGCACACTGAGATAAGGGAGCGGGGACAAAGGTTACTTCACACTGTCTAGTTATTGAACTCTGTATCATGTAGAGACAAAGTGCAAATGCCAATGACCAGGAGGATAAAACCACAATGAAACTGAACAAAGTACAAAACTCCTGAAGTTTAAGCCTTTCATTCAAAAAGTTTGTTTTGTTTTTTTAATCAAATGTGTGTATTCAAAGGTTATCTATATCTATTCTAAATGATACTATAATAAATATATGTATTCTCAATAAATATGAGTCAAATTGATTCATGAGGGGAACTAAAGAAAGCCATTCCTTGTCCTGAGAGGTGAAAAGGTGAATAGTGTGGACAGAGTGGATGTCTTATGCCACTTCTGAGTTGTCTGATGCAAAGCAGTCGGGATCTGCGTGCGTTAACCAGCCCCCCGCTCAGACTCCAGTACGGAGCCAGATCTACTCACCCTCCCCGTGTTTGTCGGTGTGCTGGAAGGCTTGGACCAGGCGCAGAGTCTCGTCCACAGAGCGCCCGACGGGCAGGTCGTTGATGGTGATCTGTCTCAGGATGCCTTTGTCATCGATCACAAACAGCCCCCTGAAAAGGTTAAAAAAAACAAAAAAACACTTATCACAGAGGCATAAACTCAACCCCATTAGTTTTGGGTGAAGGCCATATTAAAATCCAGCCGACCTGTACGCAATGCCGTCATCCTCCTTCAGCACGCCGTAGTCCCTGGAGATGGACTTTGTGAGGTCTGCCACCAACGGGATTTTCATCTGTCCCAGGCCTCCCTGCTTCCTTGGTGTGTTGATCCTGACGAGGGACAAAAGGATGAGCAGATCAGGGTAAAGACGGGTTGGCAGGACGTCCAGGTGCTAATGATATCAGGCACAATATTTGGAAAACGCTTCATAGAGCTCAGCGAACAGTGACTGCAGGTCGCTCCTGCAAAGCTGCAACAATAAGCTACAACAGTGACCCGGTTTTTCATGAATCTGCAGGCTGAACTGCACCACCTCTATATGAAAAGGCTTCCATGCAACACGCTGGAATCAGCCTACAGGGGGAACAACGAGTCTCTGTAGCCAACGTAATCGATATCTTAATGGATCTTTCAGTTACAATTTTTTCTCCTTTTCATTCTCTACCCAGTTTTTTAAATATAACTATGTATAAATTATGGATCCAAATTATTCAGGATGACTATACAAGAGAAAGCATGAATCTTTTCGTTTAAAAAAAAAAAAGAAAAAGAATAAAAGTAATTAGACTGTTTTATGATCATTGTTCACCACTAAAAGGATTAAAATCATGTTTTTGCATTAATTGGCTTTTGCTCTAGAAAAGTGATTTTGCAGGCAAGATCAGCCATGGTGGACCTGACGTTTAAGGCCTCAAACTAGATTCTGCCCACAAAGACTATATAATCAGCATCTTGAAAGGCGCATTTTAAAAACTTAACGTTTTATACAGTGGCAGTGGCAAGTTCGTTAATCTTTTAAACCACTTTATGAGACTTTTAGTGCTTTTATCAAAGTCAAACAGCTCAATGAAACACGCCTCCTTTGAGAGTTACAGTCTGTTCTGGAAACAAGCACTCGAGTGGTTCTACTGCTCCTTATCTTCCAAGTTTGGAGAGGATGTGGGGTCGGTGCACTTAGATCAGGAGGATTAAAATATTAGGGCCCAGAAAATTTGGGAACATGCCAACAAGTCAAATATTATGGAGGTCTGTTAAAAAGGAGAAGAAAAAAAAAAAAATCAAGGTTTTCCCAGGTTGTGCAAACCCTTGCATCACCTGACTCCTACCAGGAAGCACAGACCGTTGCCTCTAACTTATCAGTACCCTGCAGAGAGGCAGGAGATAATGTGGGCTGGGCGTTCTCCTGCAGGGCTGAAAACTGCACTGTCAGCACTGCAGACAAAACCCTAAAGGAGGAACTCCATCAGCCCACAGAGCGCTGCGGCTCTCTGGGGAACCCGTGACTTCAGACGGAGTCGGAATAACAGGAGTAATTGTAAAAAATAAATAAAAACTGAAAAGAAAAGAGACTTGAACAACTCAAAAGGCATTTAGGACCCAAAAGTCCCCGCCTCCTTCCCTCTGCCAGCCTTGCTTACCACGCCAGGTGGCTGAAGTGGGAGTCTACGGAGCAGCCGATGACCTCGCAGCCCAGCCGGCGGAACTCCTCCGCCCTGTCGCTGAAAGCAATGATCTCTGTGGGGCACACGAAGGTGAAGTCCAGGGGGTAGAAGAAGAAGATCACGTACTTCCCTGCGCACAGGTGGACATAATCGGTCAGTCTTGCATTGTGTGAGAGGCAGAAATCAGAGCTCCTCGGCTTCCACGTAAAAACACACGCTCTGGTTTACCTCTGTAGTCGGACAGCTTGACGTCCTTAAACTGCCCGTCCACTACGGCTGTGGCTTTAAAGTCCGGGGCAGGTTTGCCAATCTGAGCGTTTCCAGAAGACATGGCGGTGAGAAATAACTGAGGGAGGGGAGAGAATGCACAGTCAGCCCAAACAAGTCAGTGCCAGTTAGTTTAAATACAAGGAAAAACCAAAGATTTGAGCCACACGTCGAGGAGAAGGAACCTACAAAGCACCTTAACAGAAAACTCTTTGTAGGCCTGGAGGTTCAAAGGGTTTTATCCTTTAGGCAAAGGCCTGTGAAAATCACATGCAAGTCTGGCTCAGCCAGAAGGAAACAATACCCCCGTTAGGAGGGTTACATAAGCATGATAAGCCAAAAACCAAGAAGGGGACACTTACAGGATAGTGCATTCTCAAAAAAAGCAAAAGAAAAGACACACTTTATCTACAATGGCAGACATAATGGAGATATGAGGACATTATTTTTTTCAAGCATTGCATTGAAACTATGGGTTAATTTTCATTTAATCGATGCCACTGAATAGGGCTGAGCACAAGCTACCAAACCTGTAACAGGCGGAGGATACCTAACGGGTAAAAGTCAGCATTTAATTTAAAAGACTCTCATGTTCGTTAATTCACGCAGAAACTGCTAGGAAAACGATAAAAAACGAAACGGAAACGGGGCAAATCGAGCAGGGGATGAGCAGCTGCAGCCCAGGAACAAAGAAAGAGCCAGAAACAGGCCCAAACACTTCAAGGACTGGAGCAGCCCGCGCGCCTTGCTTGCTTATCGCTAGCTTAAGCGGCTAAGCTGCCGTCTTCAGCTCTGCTTTGTTTCGGTAAAAACAAAAAAAAAACACAGTTACTTTAGCGTCTGCCGCTACTTTCCCCACGCACCTGTCTGTTCGTAACGCCTCGGAGAAGCTGGCTGCAGAGGTCTGCTGCTTTCAGGGCAAGAGAGGAGTCAAAGGAGGGAGGGCAGAGTGGAATAAGTACACAGACAGCTGCGCCCCCCGGAAGGGAAAAGGGTGCCCTCCAAAGTAAAAGCTGGTCTGTGCACGTTCAAAGACAGAGTTTGGCGTTTATGATTTTTCTGAAAAACTGGGAGGAAAGACTCATCACTTCATATACACTTTGAAAAAATATGCCTATTTATAAGAGATAACTATCCAATGTTAAAAAAATTTAAATCATAGTAGTGTTTTTTTTATCAACTTTATGACATTTACGTCAATCAAATGATGATTCTCTCTTTTGTTGAGGTGGCATCAAGAAATCTCAGTAAATAAAATACCATATTTGTGTAAGTTAGGAATGGGATACCCTTTTTGTCTTTATGGTGAGTTATCTAGGAATAAATATTGTCATTTAGTGAAATATAAGCAAGACAGCATGAAAAAATACACAGTTGTTTCTACATACTTCGAGCAACACTAAATACAAATTTGAACCTTATAGCTATTTGCTTAAGATTTTTTTTTTGCACAGTCTTGGACTGAGCAAAAGTTAAAACCACAAAGCAGAAATATGGAATTTCATAGCTTATGTTTTAACCCCCGCATAATTTACATTTACCTTTTACCGTTTCATGGCCCTTTGATAGGTTACCTGTCCTGTGTATTCAGCGTCTTGACAAGTGACAGCTGACAGTCTGGAGCAGGGCTTGAAATAAGCACGCAGAGCAAAACGCTCATGAGCGACCCATGGCTCTTTTATTTTGACAGCCGGAGGAACTGTGCTACTTCCGCCTCAAAGAATCAACTCGACTGAGACAGACTCAAAGCTTTTTGGTAAATTTACAGTTGATAATCAATAAACGTATTATTGGGTCTCTACCCAAGGCGAAGGACTTGAAATAGGTTATCATTTCGTCGAAATAAGAAGAAATTAAGGAAACATACGACTACGTAGAGCTTTTAAGAGCAAAACAAAGGGTTCTGATTTAGCTTATGCTAGCTTTATTGTGCAAGATTTTTAAGCACTTTTGCACACATGTTTCATATATTTAATTACATTTCGTTAATATGTGAACCTTGGACTCAGAAATAGTCAAACCTATTTAAATGTGAACTGTATTATCAGGCGACATCTGGTTATGATTCACAGTTGTAAATATATTTCTCAACGAGCCACTTTTTATCGCGATATTACAGGTGTATCGCGTTGTTTTATGGCAATCACGCTTCTGTTTTCATTCCAATAACAGTTCTTTTTATCCTATTAAGAGGTCGTGATTGCAAATAAAGGGCTAATTGATACCAGCAGTGTCAAGGCTTTTGTCCTGCTTTTTAAACCCCAGTTTTTTTAGAATAATTTTGGTGCATAGGATCTGTAATAAGGATCTTTCCCCCCACTCAGAAATAAGCACAATTTCCCTGTCATCATCATCATCATCATCATCAGTGTGCATGGATACTCAAGGTAGGTCTCTCTAAAAACGCATCATCAGTAATTACATTATCTTTGAAAATTCAAATTAATCGTAGAGCCTGTAAGCATGATGTTTTGTCCACTCCTTTAGATATTTAGATGTGTGGGTTGTCTCTGGTATCCTTTGAGTCCTGATGGGCCTCCTCATGAACCTATTCAACTGCTACATATTATACTTTTCTAACTAAAAAATCAACATGGTTTTCTAATCATTAGATAAAAAAATGTCTCCTGTTGTCATATTTCTTTTGTAAAACAAAAACAGCAGTACATCACTAAAGAAGGCATTAGAAATGTTGTATAGGAGAAGCTCAATCGGGCTACCCCAACACAAAAAAACATGGAAAAGTATTTTAAAATATCTCCATAGTTAGTTAGTTAGTTATTCTTACAAATCATGGTTTCAAATGTTTATTAATTTAATATCATATATTTTTTAACTGTATTGATGGGTATAGGATATTCCACAGTAATTGTCTTAGTGGGACAATTAGAAGACCAAACGGGTAATATAATGATATATGGATTCAAAGAAAAAAATCAAGTACAAATAGATTATGTCTACTCAGGGTGACCGGAGTCATCATAGTCTTTTTCTCAGTATGGTTCTTCCCATATCAAATCTCTGCCGACAATAATTTCTCTAAACTGGTTTTGGGGAAGTTGAGTAAAGAATCTTGATCAACGTTGTCTGAGGCAGTGTTTGATAGTCTTCACCTGAAATGTCCCCGCAGCGACCCCAGGGCCAGTCATTTGTGAGGTCTGTGGGACTTACTTCGAAACGCGGCGGGGGCTCTCCAGCCACGCCCGCCTCCACCTGCGCCAGCTCGGCGTCACGGTGTCAGAAAACAGCGGCTCTCCCATCGAGCTGCTCTACCAGCTCATTCAGGATAAAAACAGCTCTCGGACAGATTTGAAATCGGACTCCTCTGCACCTTTGTCGACAACTGCCAAGAAATCGTCAGAGAAGGAGTCCAAGAAGCCCTCAGTGGAAGAGGACATGAATGCCTCCCACAAGACAGGAGTTCGAGCAGCTTCACAGAAGACGGGTCAGCAGGCAGCCCCCCCCACGCTGAAAGCACCAGCATCTCTTCTCCCCTCGTCTCCCTCCGCTCTTCCTCCTGCGGAAGGCAGCAGCTCATCTTCATCAGAGCCTCAGGCCCTGACCAAGCCGCTGTGGGCGCCACTGGAAACGGATGCCCCCATCTCCTTAGGTATGGCTGAAATAGTTTTCTCACTCAAAAATTGAATCTTAAGGCCAACAGATCTGTTTGTGAAAGGTCACCGATTTCGACCTGTTTGACTGCATTCTGTCTTATTTCTACAGCTTCTGCCACTAAAGATGAGGTCCACGTTTGCCAGCTTTGTGGCTGCTGGTACGAGACACGAAAGGGCCTGTCCAGTCACGCGCGCGCCCACCTCCGGCAGTTCGGGATCCTCGACAGCGAGATCAACAACGGTCCCATTGAAGTGCTTTATCAGATTATGGAGGAGGAGGACCTCAAGCCCATCAGCGCCGAGCAGCAGGAGGAGCTGGCATCCAACGCATCGGCGTCGTCCAAAAAGCGCCCGTCTGGTCTGTCCTCCCCGCCGGCCTCTCCCACCAGGAAACGGCCCAAAACGTCCAGGGAGTTCACCTGTGTTCTGTGCGGGGAGGCGTTCGAGAATCGCAAAGGCCTGGCCAGTCACGCTCGCTCCCACCTCCGTCACATCGGGGTGAGCGAACTGGTGGGGAAGAGCTCGGCCATCGATGCGGTCCAGGAGCTGGTCAGCAGCGGCGTTTTAGAAGCTTCCCCCTCCAAAAAACCCAAAACTGTGTCCGCCTCCTGTGCCGGGCTGCCTCCGGCACCAGCCTCTCCCACAGCCCCTGCCCTGTCTCCAACCCCAAACCAGCCCCAGGCTTTGCTTCCCCTCTCCCCAACGACGAGCTCACCGACCTCTCAAGGCCCCCTAAACAGGGCACCGAAGGCTAAGAAAGGTTTTCGACTAGCAGTGGACCCTCTACATAAAAAACCTAAGCCCGAGCCCGTAGAGACAGAGGTATCTGCTCAGCTCAAGCCATCCTCTGATAACTCCCCCCTGCCGAAGTCACCCACGGCTTCTTTTTTTACAAAGGCAGTTGACTTGGGTAAAGAGCTATTCATCTCAGTATGTTGATATTTGAACAAATCGCTCTCTCAATTCATTTGTACGCTGAATGAAACCACATTTGGAATGCATAATGAAGCCTTCGCTTTCCACAGGCACGCAGTCTCCACCGACAGTCCTCTGTGATTTCTGTGGCCAGCTGTTTGAGACCCGCAAAGCCCTGTCCTGCCACGTGCGCGCCCACCTGCGCCAGCTCGGCATCTCCTGGTCCATCAGAACATCTCCCATCGATCTCCTCAGAGAGGTCATGCTGCAGGGAGACGAAAGGAAAGACTCGGGATGCGCTGGTCCTTCGGCCTCGGGAAAGGCGGCGTGGACCACCCAGGGCTCCAAAAGGTTCCCATCAGGGGAAGGAGCCTCCACCTCGTGCACGTCACCTGTTGACTACTCCATGAAAGAGAAGTCTCCAGCTGGCAAAAGTGTGCCCTCACTCAACGGTAAGTCACATCTGCTTTTTTTTACCGAGCACGTTTAAAACAGCTAATTCTGTCCAGTGTACTACAGTGTATAATGAGAAACCTCAACCTAAATATTAGACATTTTTCAACATAATCCGGCTAAAAGGTCTGCTACAGATAAACTTTAGCGGCCACCACAGTCACTGTTTTCTGGTTGAGTAAGACTGATCCGCTACTGCTTGTTTTCAGAAACGTCTTGCGAGCTTTGCGGGTTCGACTTTGAGAACCGCAAGGCTCTGGCCAGCCACGCGCGGGCCCACCTCCGACAGCTGGGCCTCTTCGAGTGGAAGTCGGACGGAGCCACCTCGCCCATCGAACTCCTCAGCGAGCTGATCCGCAAAGACCCGGCCAAGGTGGCGGAAATAACCCGGCGCTATCGTTTCGGAGACCTCTACATCAAGAAGGTGGGCTCCGCTCTAAGACTGCCGGCTGTAACACAGCAGCTACGGATCAAACCGAGCAAAAGTCTAACTACTGGCGTTGTTCCCCAGTCCCAGAGAGCCCTGGGCTCGCCCTCGGCGTCCACAGACTCTGAGCCGATGGCGTGCGGCAGCCCGAAGTGGTCCCAGCAGCAGCTGGAGCACAGAGCCAGCAGGAAGGACCACAGCAGCCTCCACGCACGCACCACCAGGGGTGAGACACGGCCGCGAACGGAGGGTAGATAGCCGGAGACAGTCGGACTGCCGTTTGAAACTCCCTCTGCCTTTGATTCCAGGGGTTCATCCCCTGAAACACGGCGTTTCCTCAGGGGAGGAGCACCGGGACAAAAACTCCCGGCAGCCGTCCCGGTCCGGCAGCATCCCGGCGCTGCTGCCAAAGCCCCCGCTCACTCCGCTTGTGAAGTTTGTGGGTAAAATCTACTCGCTCAAGTGTAGGTTAGTCGGTCCATACATCAACTCTGTGTTACACATAACGGCAACATGATGAAGCAGCAGCATCAAAAGTGTCCCAGCTGGAGGTTCTGGACAAAGAAAGGTACTCGTACCCACCGCTAAGACCCCTCCCAGCCCACCACTGAGCTGTAGGATTTAGGTCTGTCTCTGAGGAGTGTCATGCACAAACCTATTGGGGGCAGCAGTGTATAAAGCAGCCGGGTGTTTAACCAGAGGAGCTGAAAGGCTTCGTAAAGTCTAAAATGTGCCTTATATCGTCCTCTGCTCCTCTGAGAAGCACAACAAGGTGTCCAGCCTTCTATGTGCTTTCAGGGTTTGCTTCAGGAGTTTTTCCTGGTGCTCAAATAATGTGAATGTCAACATCAGCAAACCTGATTTCTGATGATGTTACCCCGAAATCTCCATGACTCCATGTCGAGTGTTTTTCCACTCGGGGCTCAAGGCAGTTCCAGATAGAACACAGAAGGTGGTGCATGCCCTTTATTAGCTGAAGAAAGACTTTAATGGGGTTCAAAAGTGCAGGTTACACAACCAAAAGCATCAGCTGCTCAGTGGCTGATTGTCAGCTCTAAGTTCAGGGCCTCGAAAATCGAACAACAGATCAGAATTAAAGGTAGTTACAAGAATAATTGCCACTTAATAAAACACATTAAATAATTAGAACTTCTCTCTCTCTCTCTCCATTTGTGTGTATGTGTATATATATACACACACATATGTAAGCAGTTAAAAAACATGTGCTACAGTTCGGTTTAAACAAATAATCATTCTGTGGAAGTCACTCCTCCTCCCTCTGTCCTGCTGTTCAGGTTCTGTGAAGAGGTCTTCCATGGGCCTCTGTCTGTCCAGGAGCTGTGGATCACACACCTGCAGAAACACATCCTGTCACTGGGCTACAAAGGCAAAGAAGCTCCACCTGCTGCGCCCGTGACGGCCCCCGCCCTCGTCCAGCCCCTAGCGGTCTGATCTTCCCAAACCACACTAATATCAAAATTCAACAACAACCGACGCCTTCTTATCGACTCCGAGATTTAAAGAACCAAAAAAAGTGGACTTTCCAAACTTGTCCTTAGGAGGGCAAACATGAGCTTCAATATGGAAACGGCATGATCCGATCTGGTCAGATTAACTTGTTAGACAAGGTCACAGTAGTTGTAACCTTCATTTTTGCAGATTGCTTTCCTCCCTTTTGACATTTAGTTCCCTTTTCTAGATTTCAAATCGGGGAATTACTGCTCATAAGTGTTGTATTCCACAATGAAAAATTAAAACAAATGTTTTTTTCTTTACCATTTTTCTACTGGTCTGACCAGTATGGATTATAAAGTCTACAAAGAGTCTCATTTTACACATTTATTTTAACATTTTTTTTACACTAGGAAGATATTTTTCATAGAAATAACTACATCTGTACAAAAATGGTCTTTTTGCATTTTTTTAAAATTCTGTTTACAGACATACGTCCTGTGTAACATGGACATTTTACAAATGGATGCTTGTTTTCGCTTTTTTTTCTGGTTGAGAAAGTCTGTCTTGTATTATAATTCTGTCTTGTACCTTTACATGTTTACATAGGAATTATTTCTGGATGGGTTAAAAATAAACTTTCAAAGTTTTTGTCCGCTGATGTCCTTTTTCTCTTTATTCTCAGTGATCTTCATCCAAACATCAATTTTCTCTCATCTTCAACAGCAAAGTCTCCATATGAGATTTAAAAGTTATACTACATACAATTAATTTCACCCGGCATGATTAGTTGCTGGATCACATTTCAGCTACTTATGTGTCATTGTCATTTTAAATTTCTATGGAAGGTTATTTTTAAAAATACAATAATCCTTTTGATTCTGCACATGAACTTCATTGTGTATTTCTATTCACTTCAGTTGATTCTTTTCTTTTTCTTGTTCATTCAGGTTTGTTTAACACATTTTTTCCTGCTGTATTACACATGAATGAGTTCATTTTTAGACTGAAAGGTCTCTTTTTCGAGCGTGGGGGGAGAAATCCCTGGCAGGACTCAAAGCTCAGATGCATCTCGAACTGACCACATGCACTCTGTCATTTTTATTATGCGCAGCTTGGAGGACCTGACAGCTGCTATTGTGTCACGGTGCTTTGACTTAATGTCAGACTCCTGCCGGTGGATGCACCGAACAACTAAAAAGCAAAACAAAACAGCCTTCTTTGAGCCCATTCTTTTCTAATCTTCCATCACCTTCTTTATGCTTACTGACGGGTTATAACTGACCAACTTAGGTTAAAAGTTTTAACACATTTTTCTCCAGCTCCGAGAGGTAAAGTCTGTTTGTTTGGTTGTTGTTTTTTTTTTGCAAAAGACGGGAATTGGAGTTTATATAAGATATTTAAGGTTTCTTAGAAATTAAGAATAATTGCTGCCTTTCTCTTTTAAGGTCCCTCCTTCCTGTGGAGATTCTTTAACAGTGACATTCTCTGCCTTCTCATTTTATTTACCATCACAGGCAGTAATTGCCTTCAGGCAGTGATGGATTAAACCAATGCTGGCTCCACTGCCAGCGTGCCAACCCAGAGAGCTTTACAGACGGTACAAGTCCTCCTACCTGATGCCGTAGCTCACTCCCATCACCGCCTGACCGGTGAGAGGCACAGGGGACATAAAGCAGCCTTTCAAAGAACTTGTTGAACTGAACTCCCAAATTAGAAACACATCTGTCTTCCAAGGCTCTGGAGGCTGTGGCTTCTGTAGCATCCGTTATCTGGCGTGAAAAATGTGAAGATTCTTGCTGTGGTTCATGGCTTTTAGAGCCACTGTGGTTTCCGTGTGGTTTTCTTTCACAAGCAAGCTGGACAGTTTGGTACAGTCAGTCAGTTCTTATTGTCAAGTACATCCCTTATGAGGCTGCTAGTAAAAGGATACAGGACTGAGGGCCAGTATTAATGACAGTTTAAGAGTCATTTGATCCCTTTAAGGATGATTTTATTAAGTTAATGTCCATGCGGCCTTTCAAGGGATGATTAAAAAGTGGTGTAAGTGAACCAGTTAGAACGCTTAAGTACAAGCTAAAGGCATTTGGACAACTGCTCTGAGGTTAATAACATACTTTTTACCTCATCCAGGTTTAGCCTCTAGATTGTATTAGACCTAACTTTTCTCTGAGAGCGCCAAATTTAATAAAGTGAGTGTGCCCAGGGGCTAACTCTCTTCATGATATTACCATAAACCATATGGTGGACTATTAATAATGTATTTTAATACAGAAGCTGTGGGCTGAGGCCGGACTTTCTATTATGATCCGACCGCTTTGGAAACGGAGAGCTGTTTCTCATGTATGTATAGATTATGTGTCCTGGCTGGAGGATGGTGTGCTGAAGAGCTGTATCAAATATTAGAGCTGTCTTTGTTTTGTTCAGATGTGGGTGGCGTGAGGAAACACAGCTAGCTCCGCATATCTCTTTGGTGTGGAAGAGGCCTCGGCTTTTTCAAAAAAGGATGGGTCGTGACTCACTGAATTCCAAAAGAAAAATTTCTCCTGGGTGTGATGTGAAAGAGTTTGGGGAAACGATAGCACAGTGCATTGAGGCCATAAGCAAAAACCTCTGTTGGGTGTCCTTTGAGCCTTCAGGCGTCATGGTCAATCCATTAAGATCATTACAGCTTTTTGAGTTGGATTCTGGGATCCAATTTTAAATTTGATCATATCTTCTAACCACAAAGTTGCAGGATCTGTAGTTTTTTTGTGTTCTGTGGGATCTTGTTCTTTTAGGTTTAGTCTTTTTTTTTTTTAATCATTTGTTTCCTTGAACTCTTTGGTTTGTCTCTGTTCTATGTCTATAATTTCTATTTTGTTGGAGGTTATGCTTTGCATTTTGTTCTGGATCCCTGTTCTCATCGGTTTCCTCACTTTCCTCCTGAGGAAACTGAGGTCATTAGTTCAGCTGCCACCCTCATGCTCATCAGTCTCAGCTGCTGCTATCTCAGTCCTTGATAAGCCATTTTTTCTCGCCATCACAATGATAAAACAAATCCAAGCTCCACTTGTATTAGTGCATGGAAATGTAAATGTGGCTTGATTGGTATTTTCGTCTGGTATTTAAAGACAATCAGACAATCACTTTTGATGACAAGATGCTGCCGCCCTGTGTGGGAACTAAACCGCAAAACCACAAAACCAATTTCCAGGACGCAGTCCTGCAGGCTGGCTGCAGCTCGTCGTCGTCTGCTTTGATCAGAATTTTCCTACTTAAAAGACAGATTGCTGCAGAGTGTCTGTACATTTACCAGAGGCTGTATGGTTCCAACACCAGCTGAAAAAACCTGCAATACAATCTTATAGTGATAACGGACATCTAAGAACACACTTCCATTAATATCACAAGAAGCTTTTAGTGCTGCTCTTTAAATGGGAGCTAAAACAAGCAAGCAGATCAAGAGGGAGTAAAGTTTTCTGTCCGTCCCCATCTTTGCCTATGACTCATTTTTCTGGAAGTGAATTCTTCCAGCATCTCTGATATGATTTATGGGATGTTTCGAGGGCTTGGCAGGAGATAGAGAATTATCACACAACTTGTGGCTTCGCAATCATCCCCCACAGAGGACAGATTCCCCAAAGCAGTGCAACTATGGCAGTGGATTTGTACTTTTCCATTTCTGTTTTCTTGTTCTTTTTCTGGTTTATCACACGCACTCTATGCGGAACTGTGACTGAACTTTAAAGGACACGTGCAATAAATGTTCCTACCGGTGTCACTTCATTTTTGGATCGTTACCCCGGGGGTAAAATAGGTACCACCGATCCGGAACGCCATGATTTTCCGATTGGGACATTATGATCTGTTCAGCAGAGTCACACGGCAGGTTAAGGTGCCAGCTTTTGCGGTGTTTGCTTTCACTCCGACGACACGGGACACCGGGGACGAGCTCAGAGCCGTTTTTTCAGAGCTCCCCGTGGTGCCGTCATTCCTGGGGCCGGTCGCCTGACCTCAGATAACCCCATGCGGAGTCCACAGCAGCTCAGCGAAGAGAATCTGAGACCTATTTGCCACAAGCAAGTAATCACTCCAGTGGTTAGCAGCGGAACAAACACAAGGCTCACTGCCAAGATGCTTTCTGGAAGATAGAGTCAGGTTTGTTTATTGCAAGTCATTTTAAAAAAAATCATTAGTGGATGCTGTGCACCACCATCAGATATAAAACCATCAAGGCTGAACTCTGACCTCCGGTGAGGAGATGAAACAGTCCCGGCAAAAATCCCTGTTCCAAAGGTTTGGATGCAGGACGCTATTTTCATGCCAAGTCTAAATTTCTTAAAGATTTTCATGTGTTATTGATTGTTTCAGACAAGCATTCAACACCCAGGGAAAGACCCGACTCAGAGCAGACTGCTACACTGCGTTGAAACATTCTGAACACTCCTTTTCCCCGAGTGGATACAAGCTGGGGCTCACATCTGGCCTCTCTGTGTCTAAATGACATTTGTGCTGATGTTTGCTTCTGTGAAAAAAGCTTTTATGCAAAGATGGTGACGGAAAATAGGTTTGATTTGCCAGTATATTCAAGCAATGTGCAAAAATAAATGCTTTGTCTTCAGAGATATCCATTTTTATAAAAACTGAATCCATTTCAGGGTAGCAGGGAGTGCATAATAATATCCTGGAGTCACCTTTTCATCACACAGTCATAGAAAGCATGCTCACACTCACTATAGAGACACTTTACTATGTTTTCGGAGTATAGGGGGAATTTGAACCCGAAACCTTCTTGTTTTGCTTCCTTCCACAGCTGACAAAATGTTCCCAAATCTCTCAAACAGATTGAAAAGCTTTCAGGAAGTTTTCGTCTGGGTTTTCACTCTCTGGGCTCTCATATATATTATGTAGAACCCTGGAGACTAAGGACAAGACAAAATATGATGATCTGGTCATGCACTAGAGTTTTATCAGCCCGGCAAACCCCTAACCTTTTATCGTTTTATCCACAGAATCTTACAGTGAAATCATGAGACTATAGAGAGGAAACTTTCTGAAAGAGTCGCAAACAAAGTGACAAGAAATAAGTCATATTTGTTGGTTTTGTATGAAAGGACATGTTCAGGTTTAAGATGAAAAAATAAATAAACAGAGGAGGAAAAAAGAAGGTGAAAAAAGGGGAAATTCATTAAGACCAAGAAAAAAAATGTTGTTTTACAGAAATGGGAAAAATTAAATAAATCAAAACAAAATGCATACTGTTGCCATGATAAAATCAGTGGTTAAAAGCAGGATAGAAAGAAAGTGAAGAATATGTGCACTAAAAACATCTGTTTTTCTGGATTACCATAGATCTGGCAGTGTTATTGGGACCTGACGCTTCACTGGTAGACCACTTTAAAAAATCGTGGACACAAAATGAACTGTCTAATTACTAACATGTTTGTCAAGTTGCTACACTAGATTATAAAATTATCTGAATCAATATAACTTTTTTATTCTATAAAAGTAATCAAAGCTTTTGTGATAAATATTAAAATAATTATCAGGAAATGTTGCTTCACTCTTTTTACTAGTACATTATCAGATATGTGCCAACAGATTTTTGATAGCAAACATTTGGAGCTGCAAGTAGCCTCAATTTCTATGAAGAAAAAACAAAAACTACA